ATCTAATGATGATGAAATAGGACAGCAGGTAGGTCCGACCTGTAGGACAGACAGGAAAGATATTCTTTGATGCAGATATTGAAGAAATAAACAAATTCTGTACACTTCCCAGTCCTGTAGATAGTAAATACAGAAAAGGCCACGATTCTCAATCTCTCGGAAAGCCGTCAAGAAGGATACAAGTGCATCAGAGACGACAAAAGAGACCCTTACTTAAATTCTGCCAAGCTGGCAGCATAGCCATTATATTATTCCAACAACATTAAAAACTATAGATTTCATAACTTATATCAAATATGTCTGCAGGCAAGGTACATAGAAGCTGTGACGTCTTGCTGCAACATAAAATATCGAACATCTAAGCGCACCAACAATTGCTTACAATTTCGATTTTGTTATGCGGGCTGTTTGTAGGTGTTTTTGTGAACTTTCTGTATATTATCAAATAAAATATTCAATATCAGTAGTATCAACAAATTCATGAGATGGTTTCAGGTTCTCTTTTATTTGTTTGAATGCCTATCACCACGAAGATCTTTACGCAGAAGTGAATATTATGGTTGTGACTGTTCAGCATGACGTTTAAAATCAACCGTATCTCATCAAAGCATTTGAATCATTTAGTCTTTTTTCTATGATATTTACGGTGTGTACTCAAGAATGACTTATCTGGTCTCAATATCTTGTAGACAGTCACTGGTTGCATAGCTCTGCAATGTGCTGTCATTACTACAGTGGATATATAGTCGTCGTAACACTTACAACGTTGTCAGTGAGACAGAAATAAGCTATAGGCGTTGTAGAAACACCCGTAAAGAAACGAAACCTGTGTCTCAAATGCTTCCGGGATGAAACTTTTGTTTTCAGATTAAAGTAAAATGCATTTCATTCTCTAACAACTAATCAGGGACAAAGTCATCCCCGTTTTAAACGATAAATGGAGAACTGAGCCAGACCATCCATTGTAACTCAGACATATATAACCGCCGATTATTCAACTTCAATCGAGGAATGATTTTTGTTTCTGTAGAATCAATATAACCTGTCAAAGCTGACGATGTAAATAAGTACACAGAAGGTATTATAAAACAGGTAGGTTGGAGCATTTGATTGGACAACCAGATTTAGATTGTAAACATTTTTTACAATCTCATTTTGATATATTTCATTTCTGTGTGCCATATGAAGCTGGACGTATTTAATGCTCGTTTGTTTGTCTTTGTTCCGTTGTTGTATCTATTGTTCTTATTTGAGAACGTGACATAACTTACTGGCGGACAGTGCTGCAATAGTAGCTTTTAACCAATTTCAAGTAGGCAAAGTAGGCGACATATAGTTGTAGTAGCCGAAATGTAGCTGGTACCGCTGCGTAGTTCAATTTCTCACAAAATGGGTATAACACTTGAAGTGTGATGCATAAATAGCTGAGGTAGACTTAGTCCATGCCTGTCTCTTGAAGTCCTTCACATTGGACATAAGGCGAGTCATAGTATTCCCATCTGGAAGGAAAAACAATTGTGACATATGATAGCCCTGTAGTCTAGATAGAGTATCAGCGATATGGTTACGAGTTCCTGGCAAATAAATAGCTTTTCAGGAAACATTTAAGAAAGCACATATCTAGAATAGCACACGTGGAATCATCAAAGCACTCTTGTCTGGAAAAGATTCCTTGTTAACCCATGCTACTGTTGATTAATTGCTAGTATATTCGATGGTTTGCTTGTTTTTGTTTTCAATACTGAACATCAACGATAGACAGCAAAATAAACTATTAGAAGCTTCTTTGAAATAAGAAAAGCCTCCATCATTATAAGCACATGCCCCTGTGTTGTTTGCATCACTCTGAATCGAAGTGATTAGCCTAGGATCTTGCATTAATCTTGTACCATTAAATGTCCTTGGAGATGATAACCACCAAGCTAAATCTGCTTTAAATTCTTTCTGTAGATAACAAAATCTAATGATAGCTTTGCGAGTCTTTGAGGTTTAGGATACGCCTTGAAAAGGTACGACCCCAACAATCACCTGAGACGATAGTCAGTGTACTAAAGGCAAGACATACAATACATGATTTAAAGAGTTGATATTTATGTATATCTAATTTCTGACCTAATTATAATGTGTTTGCGTTTGAATTAGGATAATGAGACATGATATATACATTACTCATACTAAGACTATGTACCAAATTCAGAGCCAATGACACCTTCATTAGTGATTGCCTTTTCCTAAAATTACATGTCCAGAGAAAAACTTTGCTCACAGTTTAAGTAGGCTGGCATTTGATGTGTACATTGTTCATCCTAAGACGAGAGGCATTGTACTGAAATTAGGACCCGAACCTCCTAAATTACATTGTTAATGTACTATGTTAGAATTTCGTGTCTGTATAATTTTATATTGAATTGATGCCGATGAACCTCATAGCTCTATTACTTATCAACTACACATATTGAAATATCTAAAATCTGAACACAAAGTCTAGTAACAATAAGTGCTTATAGCTTACATGTTCAATAAGTATCAGACATGTCCTTGCTTTCAAAGGTTAAACATTAGCACGGACCAGACATAATTTAATGCAACATGTTATAATATCAGTCTTTGCCTCTTCCTAACTATCCGTTTTGACATCGGTTTACAGATATGGATAATTCACATGATCGAATACTAAAACTCCTAAACATGAGCATTCTAATGATACCCTTATTGTTAATTCTAATATTCAGGGCGATGGTGATATTAATGTCATCAGTGACATTGTAATTTCATTCGAATGTAACAACTTGTCTGTTTTAAAAGGATTGGGGATTGAGTTTCAAACATATTATCCTTTGTATTCTTATGATAAATAAAAGCTATGACATACACATTATACGACACGCACTGCTGTACTGTTTCAATGTATGACTGTATTCACATTTATGTTCATGAAAGTATAATCTTTCGTAAAATGTCGTTGAAATAGGCAACGCTTCTTTCCAAATTCAATCAAGGCCGTTTTCTTCTTTTAACGCATGCGTATTTTATGCAATGTATATATTCTATAAGAAAAAGGCAAACATTCGAATTAATGTTTAGCAATCAATTCATCAAAAGAATACCAACTTTGCATAAGATGTCAAATATTGGTGCATCGGTGGAATTGCTTCAACTAATGGCTTCAAATGGATTGACGGACGGCCTCAAAACATTCCGGAGAAAGTTTGGAATTCTAGTTATCCCAGATTGTGTGGAACTAACAACACGGGTCACTGGGTACCATTTCGATGATGTGAGGTGCGGGCGTAGGCGTAGCTTTATTTGTTAGGGCGACCTGTCATCCTGTGTCTAGTATTAACTAAGTTGTTTCGAAATATATATGAAAACATTGCTTCCTATATGTGATGAAAGTTTCATGCACATGGTGATCACTTTTAAAAATGTATTATTATGTTTAAATGTATTGATTTGCCAGTTATTATTTCTAAACTCGGTACTAACTTTTCGTTTTGTTTCTGATTAAAATTTGAGAAGTATATTTTCGTTTTGTTTTATCCATAATTGGTTCTGTATTTTTATCCATTTCATAATGTAATTTATTTTCAATCATTTTATTATTATCTCATGTGAGAAAAAAAGGAAAAGGGAAAAAAAGAAAACTTAAAACAAATTCTGAACTACAAGCATTCTTAATCAATATATACCTGGTTAACCCGCAGTACAGAGAACTTCACATCATAGTACATTCAGATTATTCTACAAATCGTGCTGATTTGGCTGCTCTGATTATTCTGTGTTGCTTTATCAAGCATAGGATACGATAGTACGCCTCAGCATCATTCGAAGTTTACATCGATATCCTTAATATACATGTTAAGTTCTAGTTGATATGTGGTAACGCCCAGTATTTTGCGTGTTATGTATCATAATCAATTATGAAGCTGACCTATGTAATGATGTAGTATTCTTCAAGAAGTATTTGAAAATAAACTGAAAAAACACAGGTATTGTCGTTTGTAGTAACAAATGTTAAGGGTTATATAAAGACACTAATACTAAAACCAATATTAATAGCATACACCAATACAAACTTATTGATTGCCATTGTAATATATTAAATTGCAACATACAACTTTTTTGTCCTGCAAGGACTCGACAGTGATGGAATGGACTTCTAAAATGAGGAAGATTAGATTCGGTTATAAGAAACGCTGAATTATAGACGCAGAGTTGCTGTAACTTTATTTTCAATAAAACAAAAGTAGGACACATGTTGATTATACACCCAGTTATAAATCCAGACATGTTCTAGTCTGATATACTTATTTGGATATTTCTGATTAAATATTACATTGTTAATTTATACTTAGAAGTACGTGCCATCTATATACAAGTAAAGTATGTGTGAAAGTGGATTCCAAAACCACAGAATGAATACTTCATTGATATTCATCATTTGAATTAAATATTGAGAAATATTAATCCCTATACAGACATTAAGTGTTTTCTTAATTAAAAGAAAGAAATGATAAAAAGTTATGTAAAGTCATTTCTATGGTTAAAAAAATGTCGTGACAAACATCAATGGTGTTAAAATCTAAAACTGGTATATTACAGTAAGTGTTAAGCACATTTCAATCAGAGAGGAAATGTTGAAATCATGATAAATGTGTTCGTTATTTTTGCATCATTTAAAAAGAAAAGAAATCAAGAAAATACCAACATAGCAACATATTTATGATTCAAACTCTAATTCCATAAAACTAGTATAAAACATAAACAAAAGAAAGATCTACACTTAACTTTACTTGATTAAACTTCATTTCCGGTATTGTAATTTATATATACAGATGCTTATATGATCACCGAATTACAAAAACATGGGTTACAATTTCGGCATTTGATTAATTATAGCACATCCTGTGGTTAATGTGATCACTAAGCCAAGTTAAGAGTGAGAATTCATTGTCATTGATTTGCATTCTGTATCAAATGTTACAAATTCTTGCCTTCCATTACAGTTTGAACTGAATTAAAAGCAAAAAGTAGGTCAGTATTATCCCTCCGAGCTGAAACAGAAGAAATCATAAACATAACAAATGTTCATGTATACTTCACTGGGCAATAATATTCACAGGACAAAATATTGTATAGTCAATAAGGAAGAAAAAGATAATGACGTTTTACCAAGCAAATACGATTTCAAAAACAAAAGGAAATGAGTTTGTAAAACAAAAATGAAAATCATGAAATACTAAATCTTATCAAACCGTCATTTTGCATTGGGCCGCTATTTATGACCTATTTGGAATAATTATCGACAATTCAAAGTAGATATTTATCGAGAACAGTGACCACAAGTTAAATACGTTTGTGTAAAAAGGGAGGAAAATTTCAACATGTCAATATAATCATAATAAAAAACAAATTAGATAAAATTGAGCAAAAAAATGAACAAAAGAAAACTTTATACGGAGATTCCTGGAAAAGTGCGAGGAAAATAAAACAAAGGGTTCCAGAAGAGTAACGTTTTCTGCTTCATCAACGATATCCGCGATGTAAATCTTGGTCAATCTAAGTGTCACGTTCTCAAATAAGAACAAGGTAAACAACATTATGTCAACAGGCAACCACATCAAGCTTCATATTACATAATAAATAGATCTCAATATGATCGCTATTATGGCCGTAAAACTATCCCCATAATTTTCATTAACCTGCATCTTCTGTTACTAGTTTGCCCGTCAGTTGACGACTCCATGCACGACAATCATAATAATGGGAACATGCTCTTGAATATGGAATCAACTGCTACGTGTAAATACCATAAGTTGGGGATGCATGGTTTGTTATCCAGAAATAGAACATTCACTATAGAGAAATTGAAATTTATTATTAATAGAAGAGCGTAACCTCACCGTAAGAATGAGCTCTTTAGTAATGGTGACAAACCCCATTGTCGTGAATCCCACTGCAGGTCCATTGAGTTTAAACAGGAACATTTGTAACTGCAAAATAGGTGATCGCAAATATTTATCGCGTCTAATAAACAAGAGTAAATGCAATTTATTCAAAGGAATTTATATTTGTCGATGTACAAAAAGTAAAGAGGGACACCCGTTGTCAGTCATAAACAAAAAATTGTTCTTCTTTGTCAAAAACAAAATGGTAACAAGAAGTAGATACAAGTAATATACTAAGCTAAGTGTATCAATATAATGTTACTGATATCACTTAAATATGAATTTATCCGTTTATTTATATCATATTCCTTTGATCATCACCTGTTGTGAAAACCTGAAGGCAGTTTTCAGTTTGGGGAGCAAAATGATGGTGAACAGCCAATGATTTCTATTGAACATGTCCAAACGGGATCTGGATATGTGACTTACCTCTACAGACTGAAACGCACAGGTTTCACTCATATCCACGTCATATATGTAATCCAAAGGAGAATGTGCCTTCAAAACAATAAGAAATCTAGGCACGTACACAAAAAGAAATTACGTCTTTTAAACGATCACATTTTATTTAATGTACACAAAAGTATGGATGCTTTATTTCTGTATCAGTAATGTATGTCATATCTAAAAATATGAAAATGTACATGTGAATTGATTACATTACTTGCTGTGTAATGATACTGTCTCGCTCCTGTTGTTTCCAATAAGAAACGTTATGCATGATCGTTGTTATGTATTTATCACTGAATTAAAATGCTGAGGTACTGAGAGAGTACATATTTTAGCTTAAATATGATTAGGCTAATTGCTGTTTCTGTTGCTATAAAGCCATTATTGCGAATGGGCAAATTTATCTTTTATCAATGTAAAAGATAGTAATACGCTAAAATATTCCGTCATAATCAGCACATTTATTGTATAACCTTATCAAAGTTCATCATTTATCTTTATCATCTCATGAAACGAATGAAATCGCAAGTTATATAAATAACAAGAACAAGATGAAATAGATGAAAATTGTAGGTGACAAAAATTATTCAATATTTCTCCAAATAGGTTGTCATGGGGCACTATGTCCAGCCAATGAGAAATAGAAAAAAAATAATAATGATTGATAATGTGCTGTATTTCACTCGGTATCTGGCATCGTGCTTTATAAGACAACTACAACGATCGCACGACAAATCAGATCAAAAGCATAAACTTCCTGCAGTTTTTTTATTACAATGTTCTTGGACAGAAAAACCCAAAAGTTTGTCGTTGCCATTACATACCTTTTCATTGACCTCAGCCGCTGTAAGGGAAACTATTATTGTGATCAACGCGTTCATCGCCAACCAAGATGAGTAGGTCAGGTACTCTATCACTGGCAATGTACCTGATGTCAACATCTGATAGACAATGAAACATAACAGGAATATGTTGGTAACGTAGGTGCCTGTAAGCAAATACTTGGAATCCTCTTCTAGAATGGCTACGGTTTTACACAGCTGAAGGTGTTTTCCTCTGATATCCTTTATTTTCTTTGAATTGTCTTCAATCATTTTAGATATATCATTATTTAATGACGTAAAACCGCTGCACAAAAATTTGAAAAGAGTCACCTGGTACAATATTGGGAATAACCATGCGCCAATTTCCCATACTTGCAAACTGACAAAGAATATGGTTACTGGAATATAGCCATGAGGAAAGGGGTTTGTGATACCAGCTACGAAGTATTTGTTGTACTCAGTTACTGACTGTAAAATAATCGAAGCGGCGGTAAAGAAAAAGAAGCCCCATATTACAATTGTACGGAAAGTAACCAGCTTCTTCATCTTATTATATTTCGATTCCGTCGATTCGCCGCATGCTGACCTATCCACTACAATAACATCAAAATTCCGGAAAAAACTCTGTAAATGGTCACTTGACCAACAGGCTCTGAGCATGAAAACCCGGTTGATAAAACATTGTAAGAACCAACTTAAATTAATTATCCTCCAAACTGTGATATCCGGTATGTAGTCGATTCCTACCCAAAATGACGGAATGTACCGAAGAATGTTCAGACCGGAAACGACTGTGGAACATATGCAATAACATTTGTTAAAAGACGATTGACACGATTTAGACTTGGTTTTTCTGTCTTTTTCAATTTCCGATTTGCAGTCTAAGAAGAAGATACCAAATATCTGCATGGAAATGTGAATCGGCTTGAGCACACGAACTAATGGAGAATCGTACATCCTTAAATCTGTCTCCTGGATTGGCGTCACCTTGTTGCCCATGCTTTCAAAATTAAAGTCGTCGTACCGCTCATATAGTCAACACGGTTACAAGGTTCCAAAGTAAAACAAAAGTATTGTCAGCTCACAATATGACGATGATTGTATATGTAGTGTTACACTTTTGGAAATCACGATTTCCTAGATCAAAATAAAAGAAAAATGGAATAATGTATACAGCATAATGATACAATGTTTTGTATATCAATACTGCGATAGTATTCAACATATATAGCCCACATAGTGCTACAGCCTATAAAGTTATTAAAAGGAAGATAGATGGAAAATATCCAACACTGCCCCCAAAATATAATGCAGGTATTGTATTCTTTGTGAAGTGTCTGAAACGCATAGACTTCATTTACTTAACTGGTCAAATTTCAAGTATGTTGATTGATAAACCTTACCAATTTTTTGGATTATATCAGTCCATTATTTAGATCTCAAGTCACTGCTTTGAATAAATAGACTTATTTGTATGTCATTTTCAAGCCATAATAATTAAACCGGTATGAGTATAGATATTGAAAAGATTTAGTTCCACTACGCCGATCCACCGTATTTTTTTTTTCATGTTTTGATTGTGACTGGAAAACAGCATATATTCAAGTAACATTATTGTAACTTTAGACATTGTTAGGACATATATCTACCATAACATTTTCTACTAAAGTTAAAATGAATTGAAAGAACATACCTGGTTTAGCGAGAATCATGGAGACAATATCTTGCCTTGACCTCGTACGAAATGTAATGGTAAATAATCCCATACGGTCCAGTCTATAACTGGCCATAAACCGCTTACTGACTATTTGTATACTACTGCCAGTGACGCAATCCTACATGCGCATTATCCACAATACTGATCAACAGTAGTAAGACATGGTCAAGTACACATCAGCATTGTTATCTTAGGCGTCACCCTATGTTTACTGATCAATCTCTTTTCTAAACTCCTTTGTGTCTTATCTACACCAATGATGTTCCCTGAGTCTTCGCTTATGATTCTCTGCATTAATCTTACAACATACCTGAACAGGACGTCTACTACATTATCAGTGTAAAATATTCACACAAGCTGGCCACAATTAAAGTATTCCGTTAGTTTACAAACGCATTGATTTGTTTACATTCATTCTTTGTAACTTGTATCGATAGTATAAATCAAATTTTTTTCATGAAACCACGTACCATAGTACCACATTCCATCGGATGTAAGTTTTAATTTTAAATATATGTATAGGCTGACTTGATAAACACACGACATGTAGCGTCACATTTTACATGATACCTATAGAAATGAAAAATTAAAGTTCTTATAGGCAGACAGTGGAGCTGAGGTAAAAATATGAAGAAATTTAACACAAGAGAATGATATTAAACCAGAATATGAGGAAGTCACCCTTGATAAAAACAACTCACACACCATATACACATTTACACATACATACCAGTAAATGTATAGATTTTTTTTTGTTTTAGCACACACGACAATATATACATATATATTATGGTACATACACAATTATAGACAATTATTGGCAAACCTAGAGCAAAAAGTCAGTATGCATATATCCGTTAGGTCACTGCCACCAACAATTGTATACTACACTTAATAGACATTGTTCATTTAATACATACACTAATATAACCCTTTAGAATTTCTAGATAAATCAGAACAGCATTGAAGAAGTGTGCTGATATCATTGTGATTATGATTTTTATTACTATTAAGAAAACTAAACAATGCAATTATGTAATCATTAGATATAGGACATTTCATAAAGTATATGCAATAGTTAGCAGTCATCCCCAACTAGATTCACCTATATCATTTAAAATCAATTATGCTTTTGGTTTGTTTAATATATTCTGGTCTTTTTATGTCATGTTCAAATCAAAGCGATGGGGTTTTCCCAAAACAAAACAACCATCCTCAAAAATTTGTTTATTTGTGAGCAAATTACAACCAGAACAGCCTTGAAGAAGAATGTTGATACTGACTGTTTGTATACAATAGTATTTGAATAACCTGGTTAAGTGTTGGCGAATGATCTGAAGATCATAGCCTTTCAGAACATGGTAAAGTATTATTTTGTTTGTTTGTGTGTTTTTATTTATTTATTTTTTGAAGGGTTTATGGACTTTTTATAACGTCATCAGACCCGAAAGGTCGGGATCACCTTTAGTCATAATGCTTCTCCTCACGTTTCTCCAATGGGATGCATCTTATTATTGCCTGAGATGGTAGAGAGCAGGTGTTGTTCTTTTTTGGGTAAGTACTTCCATTTTAAATCTGTTATCAAGTTCCACTGGAGCAACAGAACTGAAAATTTGTGGGAATGTAAAAGAATTTAATTGAGAAGTGTTTTAGCTTTACTGGGAAAATATTTTGAACTGTGTTAATCGTTAATAACTACTATTACTGTCTCTGCTGCTGCTACTGCTGCATGTGATGTTCCAACACATGTCCTTCTTTTATAGTCAGATGTTCGTTAGGGCCAATGGTCATCTTGTTTAATATGAGTTTGTGTTTCAAGGGTCCCTGTGTAATTTTTTCAAAATATTTTATGATTTTTTTGCCTTCGTTTTATTTATGAAGTTGAGTCACTTTAAAGTGCCTTCATGCTCTGGTATTTGATTAGTGAAAAGAAAATAATAATGAGACTGGATTCAAGGTGAGAAATCGATGTGTAATAAGCACAGACTATTCCGCGTCTTTAATATGCCGACTCTGTCCATTAATGGTTACATAAGATATCGATATTTCACCACCTATGGCCATAGTTTATTTACAGTGTTTGTTTGAAAGGTGCTATCCACTTAAATGCTTTTTGTGGGACCCTTTGTGACAGTAACGGTATGTTGCTTCATTTTGTGTTAATTGAATCTGGAGCACAGAGGGGGCATTTTAAATAGAAGAGACACTAATAGACATTCATTCATTAAAATGTATGGGACATATTTTTATAAGAAGACTGATTCATTCTAATATTAATTCTACAATACCATTAATATATGCTAGCGTTTAAGATAAAGGTAAATTGTTATGTTTAGTTATCATTGAATCCTTCTTGATCATAACTGCTTTAATGAGAATGGCATATTATTTGTTCTGGTTTTCAACTGCAATGACAAAATGTTATATCATTTGCATAGGATTTGCTACCACATTACTATCACTTGATTTTCATATATGCGTTCCTGTTTTACAATAAATCCTGCAATTTTTCTTATTTTTTGCCATAGTCACAGAAAAATGGTAAACACTATCACAACAGTTAATATGATCTCCGAACAAATCATGAATTTAATGTCTGCAACCATTTATGTAATTCCCATGGAATATACTATCACAATTTAACAGATAAAATGTTCAATCTTGTTTGTTGCAACAAAACGTGTTAAATGTGTTGAAATGCAGATTATGTTGTGGGATACTACACGGTTTCCTTGTTCTTTATTGTGATTTTATGTGTAATTTTTTTCAGATTTTGTCCTAGTTTTACTGTATTTGAGTTTTAATTATGATTCTTTTGACATTTTGGTTGGTATTTTTTTTGTTTCTACTCTGCAAGGATTTTCAGTTCCTTTCAGCATTCATATTTCAATGTTTCAAAATCACAATAACAATTTAATGTAGTCTATCTCGCAGATACTTCAAGATATGTATTTTTTAAGTTTGATACGTCCATCTTCCTAATTCTTCCGCTCTATAAACTACTTTGCTTCTCGTTTAAATTATCAGTCGATGAGGACACATGACAGGATGGGCATGAGTTGTTGACCTGTTCTGCAGCTTAAAAATGAATTAATGTAATCTTTCTACAGTATGAACAGGATGATCCTGGATATATTGTTTACTAGAATGAAGTGACTTGAAGTTCTCCATTTCTAACTATTTTTGTTAAAATTGGCTATTGCAACTTATTTGGACGCACTTGGTAGTTATTCATCCCAGCATGCTACAGAAACATTACCAGTACCCTGTGACGTTTGGTTGATATGATTATTTGACCCCAGTGCTCTTGACGATGGAGCATTTTCATTATTAGTATTAATGGTATGCAACTCTCTTTTCATTTCGTATCGATCCTCAGTGGTTCACCGTCCTTCCATGCAAGGCAGCTGAGATTCAGCGAATACAAGTAAATATAGCATGTTTTAACCCGTGGTACAGGAATATGCCTGGTTTGCATTGACCTTGGTGGTCATTATGTTACTTTCATTGCATGAAATGCAAGACGGTTACGATTTTGACCGATTAGAAATTTGCCTGGCGCTGAAAGGTTAGCCAGGATCAGTGGATGTGGCAAGTAAAGTCAGGAACGGTGTTTCGCCCGGCTCAAAATACAACGTAAGGGATATCACTATGAATTTTCAAGTCAGTCAAGGTCCTGCACCGTAAATCGCTTTTGATATCATGTACGCAGTGTTTCTATAAATTGGAAGCACAAATTAAAAAGAGAAACTGTATATCTTAGACTGATTGACATAATGTTACACCAGTCTGTAATGGAAGGCGGAATGGACAAATTAACTCTAATTAATTACTGTAGAAAGAAACGGCATAGTCTAAAGGGATTAAATTTGCTCTCCGCCTTACATAAGCTTCAGGAGAGGCTGCAGTCAGGGGCACTGCCTAAATAATGGCTGGAGTGAGAAAAGATTATCTCCCTTTGAGGGTATTGCTGAAGGAGGTTTGTTCCCAATGTAGAACCATGATTTGATCAGTCCTGAACATCATTATTCGGTGCTGTAGTGCCTTCTAGCTTTGATGTAGTATATGTACAATTTATCTTATCATGATCAAACAAGAATCTTAAAAATAATTATTTAGCTGATGTCAGATTTATGAATTAAGCTAATATTGGTTCATGTTTATATTGGTATGTACAATCTACAAATAATTCTAAGCACATTATTGATATTCACTTTATATTGTTTGTTTTTGAAGATTCTGATAAGTGGCTTGATACTTATTCGATGTATTTATGTTTGATTAGATCGATTGTCTAAATGTATGATATGCTTGAATTAACTTATGAGGTGTTAGATGATCTCCTGACATTGGCAGAACAGAAGATGGAAGGGCTTCTCAAAGCTTGACAAACTTCACTTTCTCGTCCTCAGTAACAGGTAAGCCTGACTGAAAAGCTTCTTATGCGGAAAGATGATTCTGGTAAGTTTTTCATTATGTTGGTTGTTCTAACAAAGAGCGTATAGAGAGAAGTAGACGTAACTGTCCTATACAATAGGCCACAGTGGAACAGCTGAAGGAATAATGTATTAACTGGTGGGTATTTCCCCCGCGACATCACCATCTGTGGGAAGTTATTTGAAGTTGGTTTAGTGGGAACAAGGTAAGTCTCACGTTCTTCCATCAAAGGCAAAGACAATCTTTTTGACAAAAGTAAAAACTATATCCTTACTTATAAATCGAGGACTACAGAGGACGAGCGCTCGTGATAAAAAAGAAGTCGGCTTTTGAGCAATTATTTTATTTTGAAGAAAGCGTAAACGAGTACAAGTGCAATTGTCACAAGACGGCTATTTAATTATACGAAAGCAGCGTTGTATCAACGAAACCATGTGTTTTGACTGACATTGTTACAGTGTAAGTTGTCGCGTTTTTCTATATATAGTTATTTTGAAAAGTTAATAATCGATAGTAATATATGAGGATATTGTATTTCATAACGAAATAAATATAATCAACCAATGATTAATACACTTAATACATAAGGAATACATTCCAGCAGTTATCACGTTCATGATTATGATATATCATAAAATATTACCATTCAAATTATGATTTCCATACATTAGTTATATTTCCTTATAGTATAAATCGAAGCACACGAGGTCCGAGTTCAGCGAACAAGACCAACAACCTGCATGATTCTCATCTTCCTTAGGAACATGATTCCGTTTGACATCGCTAACTCTTCCTTTTCTGTCACAGTCACCGCCACATGCCGGTCTTGGCCATCGTATCTTAAATTTAGCTGCCCGCTCGCCCCCGTAGTAGCAACAGTGATAGGAGTCTGTTGCGGACTTGAAACGTCCCCATCGCTATCCTTCCTTGTCTTGTAGATGTACCCACATGCCACAATGACCTGTATCATGTTGTTATAAAAATGGTATAAATCAACATGTCGATTCTGATAATGGAACCGCGCGAATTTAAGTATTTCCAGATACTGTGACAATATCATTTATTGTGACAGGTGTATTTTCAAGGCTACTTTTAATCCACTGATCAGAGTGTTCACAAATTAATTGATTGTTAAGTATTGGCATGGTATCTATTTATCATTTTAAGTAAAACAATTTTCTATGTGTTCAAGTGCATAAGAAGTTATCTTGGTGATTTGTACATTACATGTAAACTTTTCATGATATAAGAAATTAGTTTTAACATTCCTCTCATTGCCATTTAACACTAGAATCTGACCTGAATTATGACATAGATGCCACTGGTGAGACACAGGATGTAAGACCAGCCGAACGAGAATTCAGACACGTCAATGTTCCCCATCACAACACATCCGGCGATGCTCAATATTCCTGTAGTAAAACCAACAACAATCATAGACTGATAATTTCATGTTACACTCCTCGTATTTCACTTATTGTGTGTCAAGTTTAGTATCAAAACACTATGATTTATGGTTAATTACCATTCCTTCAAAAGCAATTTGGGAATGTATGTATTCATGTTGTAAATGAGGGGAAAAAATCAAAAGGGGCCGCAAAAATGTCAAACAGTATTACAAAACTCTCTGAATATGAGACATTTAAGGAAGACGTTATACCTGCTATTGGATACAACAGAATGAAGCATCCGCCATAGAGTTCATAACAATCAAACTCTTCATCTTTATCCTTGCCAATACAGCACAAAATTGTCCAGAACATCAAATAAATGGTGAGTGACGAAGCTTGCAGTCCCAGGGCTGCTGGACTGATGTCTATATTGATATAAAAGCGATGTTTAACTTTTAAAGACAATAAAAGAGAAGAAAATTAATGGTTTAGGTAAAATGAGTAGCATGGGAGTTGTCAAAAGTAATAACTACATTTATTTTCATTTCAGAATTTACAATCGAGTTAACACTTCTTAATCGCGTAAACATACCATGTAAACACAGCACTTTCATTACTATAATCACCCATATCTCCAGTTTAATAGCTTCCTTTCGAATTGACCCGATTGCCTTCATATTGAGGTAAGTTTTGTTTTAACAAGGACAATATATGTTGTTGTCTTGCGTTTTAATGTATCAGTTCATGTTGTTCCTTTATACGCAGATGGATCAATCGAAGAAGTGAAAAGATATGAAACAATGACCAGGCAAGAGTCTAATATTGACACGAACAAAAATAAGAATATGTTTCCTTTAATTTTATTGCCAAGCAATAATCTTTATGATAATTGGGTGGGGACCGTTACATAGATATAACCCAGAAACTACGCCCCCCGATGCGTGGACACACAACCTTGCCAATTCTTACATCGTGAATGTGTTTACTCTTGATACCCAGTATTGCTATATATTGTTAAAGCAGCTATTAACTTCGATTTTAACATCGGGAAATGGAGAATTCGGCTTACGAATAATAAAATATATCCATAATAAAGCGATACACTCGCCTATAACGTCAACTTTGTTGTTTTTGTACATATTTTCGACGTCGGAACACTGTTTATCTGGACTATTGTTTATAAACATGTCCACGCTCGGTTTATTACGAAGTAAGCCGACGGGTCACATGGCTTGTCACGTGACGAAGTCATTTACTCCCGCCGCAAAGAAAACATGGATTACGAGGAAAGTGTAAACAAACGCACATGTCTTATGTATGACGATTGCTTTTGTGACTTTCTGCTAATTCTTGTTTGCAGTAAATGATTATATAGTGTTATAATATATGATTTTTAACAATCATTCAATTAGTTTTTGTTTTGGATTCTCGTGCGAGAATTATCTATGTCAATCCTGGGCGCTTAACTAGTGGGGAACCAAAGTGGGTAATTACAATCGGAAAAGAAAAAAAACTTATTGTGAAGAAATGCACAGGAATTGATACTTTGCCTATACACATTAATAGATATTATTTACCATTCAACATGTGTCTATGTATTCATGGTGAAGGTTATGTTTCATGGTCGTTATTCTCAAAGTAACACCAGTACCGTCATATTTTTAGAACGAATACCCTCAATTGGGTCCCACCTTCTTGCAGTCAATAACAAACACACGTTGTCGATAGTACATTCAAGCGAATTACACAACTATTTTCATTCAACATTTATCAGAAAACACTTTTAGTAGTGTTGCTCATAAGATATTCACGCTTCAAGCACTGGATATTGGATTATAATCAATGACAGGCGGATACGTTATTATTATGGGGCTAACATTAAGCTAACCAGTCAAGCAGCAGCTTCGCAAATTCCAAATCCGTATTCATTCCAAGATTCTCCTTCGTCTTTCGCCATCTATCGATCACCTGTCTAAAATAAATTCTTGTCTGTCCTCCTTTCTGGTCTGACTCCTTCCTCTTCCGCTTTCTGGGACTTTCTATAAGGTAACTTTTAGGTCCTCGTCGGCTTTTCGTGTTTGCTTCCGCCATATTGCTTCATTTTAGGCTTATACGCATGCGCAGCATCAGGGTTAACAGTGGTAATGTATGAATTAGATCAAGACCGCACTGTTTACATTCTTTATTTTTCAGATATCAATAAAAATGGTTGCGGTGACTTTTTATTTTAGTAATTAAAAGTGTTAGTTTTGTAACATGCTATTGGAAAATAGAACGTTTTATATCGTTTTCTGGTAGTGTTTGTTAACATTATAGTCCCTTTACGAGGTGGTGATCTTGACTATTTCCACGATATGACCCAGGACTAAGTACCCAGAAGTGGGGCCAGAACTCAGAGCTAATTTAAACATAACAATTGCGTTTATCTCTTGATCACTAAATTTGCTATATATGCGGGATATCACACAAAAAAATGATTTCCATTCATCTAAACACAGTTCAATCATTCTTAGAGGAGGAGTAGGATTTTAAAGAATTTGCTGTGCCTCCCATATTGGGCCCCTTTCCTTCCACTCCAAGGGGCAGAGACGCACAGTTAATACAAAAAAATCAAATCATATCTACAAGATATGTAGAATTTTAAGCACTTCCAAATTTCCCTTTTTGCCCCCCACCCCTAAGGCGAACGTTTGTGAATCGATTTAGCTAGTTCTATACAGGATTTCCTCAAGTCAAATAGGTATGTTTGTTCAAATGGTAAATTGTCAACGGGTGACAAATTTTATCACACAGGGTTTAAGTTCTCGATATCAACCTCAGTTGATCGTACGTCAAGGCGAAGAATGCTAAGAGAAACAAAAATGTCTATCTAAACTGTACTTCATGCTTTTTGATTGCCATATAGATTCAATGAGTTTTAATAGCTGGTCACCCACTAGAAGCTTAATGTTACCGGCTGGATTGCTCGGTCATGTCAAGTAGCATTTCGATGTAATGGCTAACAAATATGACAGCCTGAATTATCATGCTGAGTTAATGTTCTAACACGGTTATCGATAACGGTAGTCCCTAGAGTGTTCTGGAATAAAACAGGATATGACCTTTCACGAACGACGCACATTGTCGCTGTATTTTAAGATGAGACACCTGTATACAGTTGTACGCCTAAGAAACAGAACGGTAACTTCGCACTTTAAGTTTACATGATATGACTACTTATGTGAATTAAACTTCATGCAGGTATTCTTCAAAGGACACAATAAGTACCAGCACAGATTGGGCGATTTCTAGAAAAATTGGCGGAATAATCAACGATTAGCCTGCAAAGAGTTGATTGTATTTGCTTGATCAGAAAAATATCTCATCGAATGAAATAAGACTGGAACGTTAGTGTTCCTCACATTTTGTTTCAGTTTTCATTCAACAGGATCTGACATTGTGTGCAATACCAGTTCATTAATTTTTAACATAAAGGTAGTTGAAAATATATTTACAACGGCATAATTAAAGTCAAGAAACCGTACATAGTTATATCTTGTCAATAATAATGGTTACCTACATTCACCATTCTTGACACATTCATTAGCTGAATTGGATGTTGAAAAGGTGAAAAGTCCTTGAGCATCGCATTCTTTCCATTTCACCCAGTAAGGAGAGAAGAATCCAATGGCTTGGAGGAGAAAAGCGGCAAAAAATGTGAACAAGAAACAACAACAAAAAGCCGCGGTTTCGCCCATGATGTACACCCTTCTAACAAGGAAGTGATCTGTAGCAGCATATTATTAGAATGTGCATGTGATATACATATTTAGATATCAAACATGGACAGGTAGTAGTTTTGTACAGATAAACACACACAAACACACACAACCACCACACACACAACCATTACAAACATTCTGAATGTTTACTTTCAAATATCAAATAGAATTTTTTGTTCTTGATAAAGATGTGTAACAGTGTCTGTTTTTCACTTTTTTAAAAAAAGATATATTTTTTGTCATGCATGTAAGAATGTAAGGAAAGCATAGTCTAGTGTTGTCATTTTGGTCCCTGAAATTTTAAACAGAATATCATCATGCTGAATGCTGACGTCTGACGTTACATCGTCACCGCGGTACTCATGTTTTATTAATTTATCTTTGTTAACTAGCGTGTTTTACCTAAAAAGACAAATTGAAATAAAGTATTTATAATGTCTCTTCATTTAAGTTACAGTTGAAAACTCGAAATTACATGAATGAATATACAAATGAAAATATACCCAACATCAAAAAGGTTCAAAACCTATTAGAATCGACCAGCCGAATGCCGAGATATGTACGTATAAAGTGTACAATTATCACCTCAATCGCACTGAATGGGACTCGAGCGATTTTGGCGTCACAAGTTCAAAAACTGTAGCAGCCACCATAGAAGGCATAGGCGAGAGAGAGAAAAAGAGATGGAACATGTATGTAACTGCAGATCGCAACTGGATTGTATCGTGCCATATGAAATTTGCCTTTTTTTATATTTTGAAAAGCATTGATTAATATAGATTGCATTATCGTGTGTATGCGGACACCAGCATACAGTACATCGTTTGTCTACTCAGTAGGAACTCATTTCAAAATTGTAATTGTGGGGAGGGGGGAATTATATATGTATGTACCACATTAGATGAAAGCTTCACAAATAAGTATCAATGGGATATGTCATCTAAGTAGCCAAAAAGCTCATATATTTAACGATGGAAGCTTTACGGTATTATCCATGGGGTAGGCTCGACAGGGTTGAACTTGTGACGTCACTCATAATGTATGTAGGGTGCCTATATCGATCGAGACAATCACTGCTAAGATAACGATAAGGAGGCATTATTAAAACTGACAAATGAACATAATTTAATAGGAGACAAGTTAAATAGCTCTGATAAGAAGTGATATAGAATTGTTATCAAGGTAGAAAAATAACCAGTTGTATAGTTTTTTTATTAAATAGACTACACGTAACAAGGAGTGTGTGTTGACGATAAAAGTAGTGAGGCGAGACGCAGGGTACACAAACGCAATTGAGTCTTTCATATTTAGATTTTTCATATATATTTTTATTTGGAAGAATGTGTATTGACTATCTGGTTTTTCCAACCAGTTAAGAACATAGAGTGGAAGCTGTAAACATGCCTGATAACACAAAAGTATATATAACATAGTGTTGTTCTTTGCTGATGTACCCAGGTATATACACACCTTCTGTGTACTATTATGGTATATGTTCATGTCTATAGCAGGTTCATAACACAAACAGTAGATATAGCTTGTTGACCATGTTTTACATGGCGTATATCAATAGTCAACATGTATCTTATTATTGTTTCAAAACGAACATCTTATTGTGTTTTGTCAATATTCAACTTTCACGAGAAAGGTATGTGTTTATCCACTGTTTCGAGCTAAAGACATGCTCGAACATCCACTGATTACATGAACTCATATTTGCGATGGCAAGTTACAAAAATATCTCCAATTTAATAGCCTCCTCTTGAATTTACCCAATTACGTTCATAATTGAACAGATAAGTTTAGTTTAGCAAGGACAATATATTGTGTTGTCTTGCGTTTTAATGTAACAGTTCATATTATTGATTTGTACGTAGATGGATCAATTGAAGAAGAGAAAAGAAATGTATCACATGAATTTTAAAGCCTCGCAACGGTATGTGAATATTGGGCCCCTTTTCTCCCTCTCCAGGGGGCAGAGATGCACAGTTTATACATATCTGATTTCCCTTTATCCAAATATCCTTCAGACCAAATTTGGAGAAAATCAAATCCTTCCGACAAGAGAAGTAGATTTTTAAGAATTTGTTCTATTTCCCTTATGGGGACCCACAGTCTATACAGAATTCATTTTTTCCGAAGATAATTTAGACCAATTTTGGGTATAATCAAATCATATGAACAAAACATGTATGATTTTAAGAACTCTCAAGATTTCCCCTTTTTGGCCCCGCCCCTAAGGCGAACGTTTGTGATTCGATTTAGCTAATTCAATACAGGATTTCCTTAAGTTGAAAAAAAATATATTTGTTCAAATTGTGAATTGTCAAGAAATAACAAAAATCTTATCACACATGGTTTCTGTTCACGATATCAACCTTAGTTGATCGTGCATCAGAGCGAAGAATGCTAAGAGAAACAAAAATGTCTATCTAAACTGTACTTCATGCTATTTGATTGCCATATAGATTCAATGAGTTTTAATAGCTGGTCACCCACTAGAAGCTTAATGTTACCGGCTTTATTGCTCGGTCATGTCAAGTAGCATTTCGATGTAATGGCTAACAAATATGACAGCCTGAATTATCATGCTGAGTTAAAATTCTAACACGGTTATCGATAACGGTAGTCCCTAGAGTGTTCTTGAATAAAACAGGATATGGCCTTTCACGAAACGACGCACATTGTCGCTGTATTTTAAGATGAGACACCTGTATACAGTTGTATGCCTAAGAAACAGAACGGTAACTTCGCACTTTAAGTTTACATGATATGACTAATTATGTGAATTAAACTTCATGCAGGTATTCTTCAAAGGACACAATAAGTACCAGCACAGATTGGGCGATTTCTAGAAAAATTGGCGGAATAATCAACGATTAGCCTGCAAAGAGTTGATAGTATTTGCTTGATCAGAAAAATATCTCATCGAATGAAATAAGACTGGAACGTTAGTGTTCCTCACATTTTGTTTCAGTTTTCATTCAACAGGATCTGACATTGTGTGCAATACCAGTTCATTAATTTTTAACATAAAGGTAGTTGAAAATATATTTACAACGGCATAATTAAAGTCAAGAAACCGTACATAGTTATATCTTGTCAATAATAATGGTTTTTCACTTTTTAAAAAAAAGGATATATTTTTTGTCATGCATGTAAGAATGTAAGGAAAGCATAGTCTAGTGTTGTCATTTTGGTCCCTGAAATTTTAAACAGAATATCATCATGCTGAATGCTGACGTCTGACGTTACATCGTCACCGCGGTACTCATGTTTTATTAATTTATCTTTGTTAACTAGCGTGTTTTACCTAAAAAGACAAATTGAAATAAAGTATTTATAATGTCTCTTCATTTAAGTTACAGTTGAAAACTCGAAATTACATGAATGAATATACAAATGAAAATATACCCATCATCAAAAAGGTTCAAAACCTATTAGAATCGACCAGCCGAATGCCGAGATATGTACGTATAAAGTGTACAATTATCACCTCAATCGCACTGAATGGGACTCGAGCGATTTTGGCGTCACAAGTTCAAAAACTGTAGCAGCCACCATAGAATGCATAGGCGAGATAGAGAAAAGAGATGGAACATGTATGTAACTGCAGATCGCAACTGGATTGTATCGTGCCATATGAAATTTGCAAATTAACAAAGCTATTTCAGTCGCTCTCAAGAACAGCAGAAGAATTTTGGGTTCAATTTATGCGGATCTTATCGACGGCGTTTAACGATGGCTTATTATTGGGGAAACGGTGATAACAGACCAATTTACAGTAAGGAAGTAAATGTTGTATTCCAAACTTTGGTGTCGCTTTGTCGACTACTTGAACACTCATGAGTAGACTTGGAATGTAACAAAATGGCGATGGTGAATATATGGGAAACAGGTAATGGCATAGACTCTATTCTGACATCCACATTCTGCATTTACTCAAACATATCTAATGTACTTTCGGGTGAAGGATGTAGAAAAGCTTCTTCTGCGGGAAGATGATTCTGGTAAGTTGTTGACAATGTTGGTTGTTCTAACAAAGAGCGTATAGAGAGAAGTAGATGTAACTGTCCTTTACAACTGGCCGCAGTGGAACAGCTGAAGGAATAATGTATTAACTGGTGGGTATTTCCCCGCGACATCACCATCTGTGGGAAGTTATTTGAAGTTGGTTTAGTAGGAACAAGCTAAGTCTCACGTTCTACCAAAACAGGCAAAGACAATTTTTTGACAAAAGTAAAAACTGTATCCTTACTTATAAAAAGAGAACTACAGAGAACGAGCGTTCGTGATAAGAACGAATTCGGCTTTTGAGCAATTATTTTATTTAGAAGTAAGCGTAAATGCAGGGCTAGTTAATTACATTAAACCAGTATTGTATCAACGAAACAATATGCTTTGATTGACATTGTAACAGTGAAAGTTGTCCTCTTTTTCTAAGGAGTACGTTCCAGCAGATATGACGTTAATGTTTATGATATATATACATACAATATTAACATTCAAATTATGATTTCTATACATTAGTTATATTTCCTTATAGTATAAATCGAAGCACACGAGGTCCGAGTTCAGCGAACAAGACCAACAACCTGCATGATTCTCATCTTCCTTAGGACCATGATTCCGTTTGACATCGCTAACTCCTCCCTTTCTGTCACAGCCACCGCCACATGCCGGTCTTGGCCACCGTATCTTAAATTTAGCTGCCCGCTCGCCCCCGTAGTAGCAATAGTGGTAGGAGTCTGTTGCGGACTTGAAACGTTCTCATCGCTTTCCTTCATTGCCTTGCAGATGCACCCACATGCCACCACGACCGGCATGATGTTGTAAAAATGGTATAAATCAACATGTCGATTCTGATAATGGAACCGCGCGAATTTAAGTATTTCCAGATACTGTGACAATATCATTTATTGTGACAGGTGTATTTTCAAGGCTACTTTTAATCCACTGATCAGAGTGTTCACAAA